CCTATTTCTTCATATTAGGCATGTTTAGGCGGTTCTGCGATGCTCTCTTATGATAATCATCATTTGGTTGCGGGCATTGAACATTCTGATTCATTCTCTTGGAATCCACATAAGTCTTTAGGCGCTCCATTGCAATGTTCATTATTCGTAACTCGAGAGCGTGACTTACTTTCACATTGCAATTCTCTCGAAGTGAACTATCTCTTCCAGCAGGATAAATTTTATGACGTTTCATATGATACAGGAAACAAAAGTGTACAATGCGGTCGTAAAGTTGATGCATTCAAATTTTGGTTAATGCTGAAAGCACGTGGCTATGGAGGGTACGGCCAATTGGTGGATCATGCAATATATATGGCAAAAATGTTTACACAAAAAATTAAACAACGTGGTTCAGAAAGTTTTCGTTTAGTATTAGACGAGTTTCAGTATATGAATGTTTGTTTTTGGTACATACCGAAAGCTTTACGTGGGTGCAATGAAAATACTATGGAGTGGAAAGAATGTCTATATACAGTAATTAAATTAATTTCTGAATGTAAATGGAATGTAATTTTTTGTTTCGCTTTTTCAGGTTGCACCAAAAATTAAGGAACGTATGATTAGGCAAGGTACTCTTATGGTAGGTTACTCACCCTTAGCATATCGTGATATTGGAAATTTCTTTCGCATGGTTTTCACTAGTTTTCCTATATTGGATGAAAAAGAGCTTGATTTTATTTTAGATGAAATTGAAAGACTGGGTGAGGAGTGTGAATATTAATATTTAAATATATACAAAATATTTTTACTTTAATTTTTATAAGTTAAGCAAATTTAAGTTTACATTACAAATTGTGAAGTGAAAATCTACTTATTCATATATTATTAAATAAATAAATTAACTATAATAATTATTTTAATGAGTATATTAATATGTACAAAGATTTCAAAGAAAAATACTTTAAGCTTATAAAAAAAGAGTAAAACTAAAACTAATATTAAAACTAATAATTACTGTTCTAAACAAAGAGTCTATTATATAAAAGAAATTTTAGACCCAACATTTCAATATTTACTGAGATGTTAAGTGTTAAAAAAAACTCTTTCAAGAAAAAAAAACTATTTATTATTATAAATAGTGTAGTTTGGTATATTATACCTTCTGTTCAAAAAGTATCCGGATTTTGTTGTGTGTTAACTACTCCTTAAGTATTAGACGTTTTTCAAAAAATTTTTTGTTATGTTGGTACACCCTTTCTTGACATATGGTACAAATTTGATCGCTATCTGTCAATTAGTTTGTTTACAGCAGCTGTTAATTTGAAACTACCTCATCGCTCAGACACCGTATTCGCCAGATCTGCATCCGTGCGACTTTTTCCTGTTCCCGAAACTCAAATTGCCCCTTCGTGGTAAGCGTTTTGAGTCGATTGAATCGGCAAAAGAGAATTCGCTGAAGGAACTAAAAGAAATACTTTCACGGGCCTACGAAAAGTGTATGAAAGATTGGGTTAAGCGTTGGCATATATGTACCGCTTCAGAAGGAGCAAATTTTGAAGGAGATAAATAAATTTGGAATAAAATTGAAATTTGTGTTTTATTCACAATATCCGAGCACTTTTTACACTTTTTTATCACGTACCGTCTTCTCGAACTGGGTCTGTGAAGCTAACTGAGTACTTGTTTTTTATAACAAAAATTCCCAAATTTGTATTTATTGTTACTATTTTTGAAGTTCTTTACAAAATATAACATGCGGGATTTTAATAATAGAAATATAATTCTTAAAATAAAAAGAAAAAGAGATACCCATTTTGGGAAATATCTTAAACTTGTTAGTAACTAACAGTATAGTGAAAAATATCATCAGTCGTGAATGTACAATATCGCTGACTAATTGTAGTATTTACAACCCAGTGCTTAAAACATGAAAGCTAACTATTATACTACATATTAATATAAGAAGCCACAAGCTTGAAATTAAGGAATCTATAGTCAAATAAGAACATTGCAAAAAATGAGTAATAGATAACTACGGTAAGATTTGAAGGTAAAAAATACAACTTTCCCCTTTAAATTAACAGTATAAGGATATAAATGGAACCTTAGAAAATTAATGTAAGTTAAAATTATGCAAATTGTAAGCCAACATGATTTCACTAATTGTTATAAAAATAAATATCTGAAATCATGTTTCTCTATTAAGAACAATGATAATGACAAATGAAGTCATTTCACTATCCTTTGAAAAATTAAACAACTATCAGTAAAGATATAAATTCAAATTAAATATGTTATCAGAGAAATTCGTAACAAATTATAATAATCGGCAATAACAATATATATTCGCATATTTCCCAATAATTTATTTGCGGTTTTTTGTTGATTTATAATGTTTGACATTTTAAGGCCATTTTACGTGCCTTCCTTCAAGACTCTTTCTTATTTACCCTTTTATTTAAAATTTCAAAAGATCGAAAATAATTTTGAAATACGAAACTGCTATGCTTGCATAAATAAAAAAAAAATGTAATAAAAAAGTTTTAAGTGTACTCGAAATATTCAATTTAAATAAAGTAAGAGGTTGAAATTTCTGCAAATGACAAGAACCAAATAAACACAAATACGAAGTAATTATATTGTATATGCTTTATGCATATAGTATGTAGGTATAACATACATAAAAAATAAGTATAAATTATCAGATTATTTACTCTTAACCCATAATGTACAGGGTATTTCCATGCTAAATTCAGGTTATTCTTCGGTTTAATGAAAAAAGGTAGGTGTTGTTGCTCCTTTTGCAAGAAGATATTAGGACAATTCTCAATATATGGTAAGATACTCATATAAACTATCTTCACTATTATTGTTTTTAAAATAGTAACACATTATTAAATAAAATATTAACAAGAGAAAAACTAAGATTTTCATTTTGAAAATTTTTTGTTGAAATTATAGCACATTTGCTTTTAATAAATTAAATTACAACCTTCATCATTTCGATATATAATGTAATAGAAGATAAAATAAAACATTGTACTGTTATAAAATAAAATAAAATAAAAAATATTAATTGAAGTTAAAATTGTTGTATAACACAATCTTTTTGGATAAGTGGTTTCGGAGATTTTTATGCTCACATGGTTGATAATTTTTTGCGTGCAGAGTTTTTTTTGACATGCCTCTACTTTGTCTTCTTCTTCTTCTTATTTGACACTACAGTCCAGTATGAACCTAGACTATGGATAGTAGTCTTGATTTCATCAAGTCTAAATATATGTAAACATCTATTTGAAATGTCTATTTTGAAGACATTTCATAGCTCTCTTTTGCCTTTTTGCAATGATTGCAATATCATCTGCATACGCACAGATCTGGTATGACTTTGTTATAATATTGCCAAGATTTTCAATGGAGTGAATGGCGTAATGTAATGTTAATATAAATAAGAATACCGAAAGGCTGTCACCCTGTTTAACTCCGGAGCTTTTTGAAAACGACTCTGAGAGGTGTCCATTGATAATAACATTGCCTGATGAGTTCGCAAGGATCTTTGCGTCCAATCGAGTAAGTTTTTGCGGGGCGCTCGCCCATGCCAGTGCGTTTATGATTACTGATCGTTCGAGGCTATCGAAGGCCCGCCTGAAATGTACAACGAGTGCGTGTAGCGTGATGTTGTGCTGCTACTTCGTATTTAATAATTTTGAACATATTCCAATAATTATTTTTAATTTCTTGGATAAAGGAATAATAATATTATTATAATATCTTCAATTTATGCTATTTAATACAGAAACACCTTGTATACTTGTATATTTTTCACTAACTAATACAAAAATAAGTGTAGTACTATAAATTACAGACAAAGCGAATATAATATACATATATGAGAAAATTGTAACAAAACAATTTCGTTTTTCCAAATATAGTACAGCTCTTCATTACCAATGTAACTTAGTTTTTGTTTATTATTATAAAAATGTTGTTGTTAAAATAATTTATAATAAATGCTTGTCTAATGCAATTTATTATGCTCTATTAAGAGATAAACATTTTTAGATATTTTTTCAATAACAAACACTTTTAAAACACTAAATATTTTGTTGCGTAGAAAATTGAAGAAAAAGATTTTTAATAAATTAATACATTAAAAATGTAAGTTAAAATTTACTTTTTTAAGATCCCTAAAAAATATTTTCTATACGAAAATATCTCTATACGACATAGATTCTCTTCATATTGTTAAGTCTCAGTTTTTTCGAATATTTCACAGTAAAAACAATATAACTATTTTGTGGAGAAACACACTATCCTTAAGCTTGTTTAAACTATGTCCTACCAAAAATAAAGGTGAACTCTAGTATAAGAGCAAATTGTTACAATTGTATGGGTATGCAAATAACTTTACTATATACTGCTGGTAATAACCAAATATACGCTTATATCAGCAACAATTTTAACATCATCATATATCACAATGGCCCATATGGGAATTTAAAGGTGTAAAAAGCTTCTGACAATATGGTATGCTATTCACCGCATTAAACTCAATTGAGTGTAGTGGTCTGTCGTCAAGAATAGCATTCAGGTAGCTATCTAGAAAGCATATGGGAGAATATTTTAGCTGGTAGTCCCATATGACAATAGAATATAATGAATGATAGGACAGGAAGCGAACAGGTTTTTAGCGAAAAGTATTTCAAAATAAATTTGGATCAGTTGAAAAATGTTGTTACAGAAAATTCTATAATCATAATCCAGATGAACTCATAAAAGACAACACAATAGAGCCTTTTATAATAATATAATGACTGAGATATTGGTGGCACATGGTTGGTTGGTTGGTTGCAGTGGCAGGCCATAAGGTCACTTCAAATGTACCTCAATTAACGATTTTCGCCGTTTTACTACCACATTCCTCGCAAGAACCCTAGTATAGAAGAGTAGAGACTAAATCCATCCCACCGAATTTAGGTAATTTAATAGGTCTTTAATCTTCACCGTTGGTGGCACATAATCGCAGGAGTTATTTTGGGAACATATAGAAAAAGGTGATCAAGAAAGAAATGGATGGACTAAGTTAAAAAAGATATCCAATACTTGTTGTATCCTAAATCTTCAATGAAATATACAATGAAATAATTAATTGATTTTCAAAGATAATTTAAGAGATGAGATCTTATTGTTTTCTGATATTCTGTAAATTTCTGATAGTTAATCTTTACTCATACAATTTAAATAAATTGTTAAAAATTAATTACATCTTAAAACAAAAACATTTTATTATAGTAATACTTAAAACATTAAAACATAAAAATCCAGTTCAGTGACACGATAGAAATTTTGTTAAAATGATATAATTCTATTGACTGAATTTGTTAGGCTCTATTTATTTTTTCTTATTGTTTATATATTGTAAGCGCTATTAAAAAAGAAGACAACAACAATCGTAATAATAACAAAAAGACCGACACAATCCTCATTTAACTAAATTCAATAGTCAAACGCAAACTCACATTTTGTAGGTCGAAGTGAGTATGGTTTATGGACCGCATTTGCACTTTGTTCATGCTTCTTTTACGATCTTAACACACTTATATTTGTTTTATTTGTATTTCTACGTTTATTTGTTCTTTATGACGCGTCGTCAGAATACCCGGTCAATTACCCATACTTACTAAAGAACAACAAACACAAGGTTGGAGTTTTATTTAAAAACTTTCCTACGCAAACGGTACTCAAAGAAAACGAACTGGAGAAGAATCAAACGAAAACAAACGTAATGATTGCAATTCTTCAAAGTACTTAAGACATTAAGCCTG